TACATGTGGTGCAGGGTGGCACAGGTATGTTGTCACATACCTGTGCCACCCTGCTGAGACACATAGTGGTGTAGTAACATATGACAGGTGGACTGAGAAGGAAGCGATACAAACGAGTAAGGATGAGGAATAGAAAAGATAAAGAAGGTGAGGAAACAAGTGCTTTTGCCTGCCACACAACAAAAACATATTTAAGTAACATTAACATCTAAAAAAGAAAAAATATATAATTCGTTGTCCACGCGGCTCTTGATTATTTCCCACAGATTACCAGGGTTGGAGATGCCGCCCAAAGGCGAGCCCACAAGAGAGCCCAGAGGTGAACCAACATGTGTGCCCACAGGTAAGCCTGCAGGTTAGCCTGCAGGTTAGCCCACAGGTGAGTCTGAGACTACTCGCCTGGCTTTTGGCGGAGGCAGACGTATCGTTGTGATTCCTGGCTTGCTGGCCAGTGGTTGTTTGTGTTTGTACTCGGGTCCTTCGGGCTGTGATGGCTGCAGGGATGGTGCCCCCCCCCCCTTCCCCCTGTGAAGTGGAGGGATACCATTGGCCTGGAGTTTACTGGGCCGGCGTCTTACCCGGCAGTTGAGGTGGTCCTGATTGTTATGTTGCAGGTAGATGTGGCGTCTGTTTGCGGCGTTCAACTTGTGTCCGGGCATCAAGCTGTTGTGAAATTCAGCTCCACGGCTGTGTATCGTGACTTTGTGGATTGCTATGACGGGAGGACATTCACTCTGCCTGAGGGTGGTGGTTAGATGGCAGTGTCGGACAGGTGCTGTGAGACTACGTTTGTAGCAGTTCATGTTGCTCATTTTGAGTTCCCCGACTCCCTTCTCCGGCGTCACTTTACTTGATATGGGCGGGGGTCTTCAGTGTCCGGGTGAATGCTGTCTCCTCCGGGCGGTGGAAGGGGGTCCCGAATTGAACCCGCACTGTGGCAATGCGTCTGAAGGACTCCATCCCGTCGTCACTCCTCCTTCTGGGCTTCACGATGTGGGTGTTTTATGCGAGCCAGCCCGGACTTGTTTCCGTCGTGGGTGTTTGGGGCTGTGAGTTCTGGTGCTGGAAGTGTATTCCCAGTTAACCTGTTCCGTGCAGAGACTTCCTCCCGCTGGAAGTCCCTAACTCCTGTTCACGCCATCAACCCCTGTTGATGGTGCTTGTTAGCCTGCGCTCTTAGGATGACCTGGTGTTGCTGCCTCTATCTGTGGCCCATCCAGCTGGCGCTATGGAGGTCGTGGCTTCCCAGCCCCGGCCTGACCAGTCTACGGATTGTGTCTTCAGAACGTGTCCATGTCTATGTGCACGCGTGCAGTCTCCCGTGATGTGCGGTCCAGTTTCCCCAGTCATTGAGGCTGCGGTATTGCGTGATCGTGCACTGCGGGGTGTTGAGAGGTCGGCCGGGGGTTCTGTTGTGGTACCTCTTGGTGGGTGTGATATTTCCGACGACCTACGCCCGGTCTTGGAGTGTTCGAGGCAGGCTCGGAGTGTGCCTACCCCTCGTGGAGTGGCCTGGGCTGACGTGCGGGATTACGGAGACTGGGAGTTCTGTGGACGACAATGTTGGTGTACGGGAGGCTCGTGGTGAGGCGGTGTTAGTGGCTGGTGCCCCTGTCGTGGGGAAGAAAGCTGGTGCGGGGCCCTTAGTTCCTGCTTCCGTTTCCTCGCCCACGTCCCTGTGTTTCGGTTCCCTCGTGGGAGGGGGGGGGGTACCCTAATGAGGATGTTGGTGAGGCACGTGAGCCGGTTGCCCCCTCCCGCCTCGTGCCGCAGGCCTCCGTGCTCCGGCCATGCGTGTGCCAGCCCCCGGTGGAGCCACCCTCAGTGCCGCCGGCCCCTGTGCAATGGTCTTCTGTCCCCGAGTATATGGTTCGCCCTCGTCGTCCCCGTGGTCCCCCCCCCCACCCCCACCCGACTGATGAGGAGTGGGTTGTGAGGGACGCGTATTGTGCACAGTTCCCCCGCAAATTACTTCCGGAGTAGTATGGGGTGTATTAATGAGTTCGTCTCTGGGTGTTGGTGTTTTGGATATATTTAATGTTTTGTTACTTTGTGTTCTTGTATTTGTTCTACTGTCTGTAATTTTCTTTTGTTTTTCTTTTTGTACAGTGCTTTGGGTTGTATTATGTTTATTACCTTGTTCTCTTGATTATCTTTCTGTTTTGGGTATGTGTTTGAAAGTTTGTTGTGCCTTATTAATAAAAAAAATTGTGATCCAAAATGTGAGCCCACAGGTGAGCCCACATGTGAGCCCACATGTGAGCCAACATGTGAGCCCACAGGTGAGCCAACATGTGGGGTCACATATGAGCCCACAAGAAATAAACCATCTCTAAGCCTACAAATAAGCTGGTATATCTAGACTGAGAACGTTTACAGAAGACACTCGCCAAAATCAAACTTGTACTCTCACAGCATCCAGCAAGTTTTAGAAACAGCAGTGAAACACCTGGGTTGAAATTATCGTCAACTGAGTTTATGACAACCTAAGCAAAGTATGAAAAGGAAACTTAGGATTAAGAAAGACTAGATGAAGACACGGAAGTAATAAATGACTAAACATATTTTTACTTATGATTAAAAATATATATATACGTATATATTATGTACACTTCAGTTATATACCCTGATTGATATTCAGTGAAATTAAATACACTATAGCAGATCAAATATAATTTGGATATTTTCTGATTATAACTATTTACACCCTCAGCCAAGTTGAAACAGAGACAGAAATCGCCGACTCTACAAAATTTTTCCGACCTACTGGAAACACCGCACCTCGGTGAAGACATGAGTGTTGATAATATCACAATATGGTACATAGCCTAAACATCCAACGCAAACAAAAATACAAAAATGTAAGATATTCTATGCTGTACAAGAGTAGCATTATTGGTTTCGAGAAAAGTTATCTTTCTGACTTGGTCAGAAGTAATCTTGCTGGCTTGAGAACGAGTCTTGCAGGCTTGATTGTAAATAGTTTTCTGGAATGGTTACAAGTAGTCTTGCTGGTTGACTTAGCCACAAGTAGTTTTGATGATTGTCTGAGAAACGCATGAAGCAATATCTGATAGCCGATAAAGCTGCAATATCACAAGTAAATGTGATCCTTTGCACGAATTCTCAACATTCAAGGAATGCTATAAGACTATGGAGCACTTTCGACACAATATTGCTGCCCTCGCACAAATCTAAGAAGGCTTGATTCGTCTTAATATCACCAAGTACAAATTGTCAAAAAATAAGCTCGAGATCCTCAGATGAACGAGTCTTGGGTTAAAACAACGGATAGTCATATTACGCGAGTCACTTCAGGAAGACACACGACGCGCTGCCTCTCCAGGAGGCAACCGTTGCCTCCGATACAATGGTCTAGAAAATGTCAACACACGAAATAAAAAGAGACTGTAGATGATAATGTAACTTATGGAGAGTATCGGGGAGAGGAATGATCGATGAACATATGAAAGCTTCAATATTCAGGAGATATATTAACAAAAGTATGTATTCTGGAATATTATGTTAAATTTAACATTTCATTCACACGCTCTTATAGGTTTTGATAATTCTAATAATATATATATATATATATATATATATATATATATATATATATATATATATATGTCAAACCACGGGGGAAGAATTGAAACAGGAATTTCCTTAAGTACTTTCGTATATTAATACATCTTCAGAAGGAATGATTTTCCTTCTGAAGAAAAATTATTTTTCAAAATCATTCCTTCTGAAGATGTCTTAATATACGGAAGTATTAAGGAAATTCCTGTTTCAATTCTTCCTCCGTGGTCTGACAGTCACATTTTTCATCACGTGTTAATTTTTGTGATTTACACACACACACACACACACACAAACACACACACACACACACACACACACACACACACACACACACACACACACACACACACACACACACACACACACACACACACACACACACACACACACACACACACACACACACATATATATATATATATATATATATATATATATATATATATATATATGTTGTACCTAGTAGCCAGAATGCAGTACTCGGCCTACTATGCAAGGCGCGAGTTGCTTAATAGGCCAAGTTTTAATGAATTTAAATATTTTCCTATTATTTTTTCTTATGAAATGATAAAGCTATATATCATATATCTCATATATCTATGTTAGGTCATATATCTATGTTAGTTTTAACTCAAATTTAAACAAATTAGCTCATACATAATGAAATGAATAGCTTTATCATTTCATAAGAAAATTTTTCGAAAAATATTGAAATTCAGGAAAACTTGGCTTATTATTCAAATCGGGCCTTGCATAGTAAGGCAAGAACTGCGTTCTAGCTACTAGGTACAACATATATATATATATATATATATATATATATATATATATATATATATATATATATATATATATATACATATATATATATATATATGACAGTGTCAGACCACGGAGGAAAATTGAAACAGGAATTTCCTTAAGTACTTTCGTATATTAATACATCTTCAGAAGGAGTGATTTTACAGGTCGAATACTGGACATAGATAGGCAGGAGAGAATGGTATTTACTATTTTATGCTATGATTATCCATGTGTGGGCCTGTGTGTGGTTATGAATGGGAGCTGCATCAGATGGGCCAATAGGCCCTCTGCAGTGTCCACGTATTGTACCTCACCTCACTCCACCATTCTCTCCTGCCTATTTATGTCCAGTACTCGACCTGTAAAACCATTCTTTCTGAAGATGTATTAATATACGAAAGTACTTAAGGAAATTCCTGTTTCAATTTTCCTCCGTGGTCTGACATTGTCACATTTTTAATCACGTGTTTATTTTCGCAATATACACACACACACACACATTATATTATATTATATATATATATATATATATATATATATATATATATATATATATATATATATATATATATATATATATATATATATATATATATATATATATATATATATATATATATATATATATATATATGAGAGTTGTCCTGCGATGAGAGAGTTGACCACGCGAGGCAAGGCTACACACAGAAACGGGATAAATGGGTCATATTCAGAAATATATAATCATGCAAGATACTATAATATTAACATCATTAATATGTACATCTCTTAAAGCTATTAACAAGTCTGAACGTCACAATAACTTCTCAAATATAACATGGTCACCTTCCAAGGCTTATCTCAGGTCATTTATGATACTTAAAACTTCATAAGAGAATACACACACGTGTAAAATACACGAACACACACACATTTCAATTTGTTTTATATAAGAATTATTTTCACACTTCAATCATTTTATCTATATTGTAACTTCATTCAAAGTGAAAAGTAAATAAGAAATTTTTCAGTAATACCGTCTTGTTACAAAAGACCGCCTGCAAAATTATATGTAACATAGAACCTACTTTATTTTTGTATTATTGAAACTTGTGACACAGAGAGGGTTTGAAATTAGGTCATTAAATACTTATTTTTACATCTTTATCTTAATGGCCCACAAACTTGTCTTGTAACACCAAAATGACGCAGTGAAGATTTGAGTTGGGAAGGCTTGAAGTTTATGAGAGGGATGAATGAGATGGATGAATGAGGGGGAAAATCAGGGAAACTGATAGTAGGATGTTTAAAGAGGTTGTAAGATAAAAGATGTGTACAGAGCGTGTAAGAGATGTGCGGTAGTATGAGAGGCATGTGAAAGGGGATGTGCATTATTTTAGGAGAACATGTTGATAGTGGACACAAACCAAATGATCGACTACATTATCATACATTTTAACTTTTTCCACAAATTACAAGCAAAGATACATTGAACCAATACCAATAATGCACAATAATCTGAGACAAGTCTTGAAATGGAACCATAACGCTATGTAAAGACATCTACCACTATGTTTCACAAATTACTATTGGTACAGATAAAGATGGAAGTACATTTGCTATTGGCGGTACAGTTGGAATACAGCGTTTGACGTGGCGGGATGTGATCGGTTCTTGGAGAGCAGGTAGGGGCTGAATTTCTCTGTCATTGATGCAGCAGTAGTGACGTAGTTCTGACATCGTAAAATATAACTGGTTGCTTAGCACGGAAGAGGACTACTATTGGTCACGCATGACACTTGTACGCCTCGCATCATCAACGCTTCTCATCTGTCGGAGAAGAAATGAAAAATCGTATAAAAGTAAGTAATTATCAAAAGAAGGCACCAAACCGGGAAGGCTATGTAGCACCATCAAATGTGCGGAGTAATCAGAGGGCGCTAAATATCACCAAGGATACCAATACGAGAACAGAAACGCATAAGGCGAACGATATCAAAAGTATTCGAGTCGCCAAGAATTCTATCGAGGGACAAGCGACCGTGAAGGGCGGTCGGAAAGCAAGATACACGCTCGTCCTGGAAGTCAGGACATTCAACAAGGATATGCACGACCGTAAGAGGGACAATGCAATTTGGACAATAAGGAGCAGGGCGGCGCTCCATTAAGTGACCGTGAGTTTAGCATGTATGGACAATATGCAACCTCGCCAGAGCCGTTTCCCATTGCTGGTTACAGTGGTAGAAGGAAGGCCACGAGGTCACACTACTCTTAAGAGTACGCAGTTTGTTACGAGTAACAGAAGACAAACAATCCTGCCAACGGGCAAGGACGGAGGAATGGATAACCGGGTAAAAGTCGGAATAAGGAATACTTTACGGGAGATGGGACATGAGCAGACAGCTTCCCTAGCGGCAGCGTCCGCACGCTCATTTAAAGAGACACCAATATGGCTGGGAACCCAGCAAATCTCAACTGACCTAAATTTACAGGAAATAAGAAACAGCCAATGTTGAATCTCGACGACCACTGGATGGACAGGATTAAAGGACCCGAGAGCCATGAGGGCACTACGAGAGTTAACGACAACCACAAAGGAAGATTGATAGCGAGAAAGCAGGAGACGAAGAGCATAGAGAATAGCATAAAGTTCTGCTGTGAAGACGCTAGTCTCCGGAGGTAAGCGACACATATAAGTGTGGTCAGGAAAAACAACAGAGTAGCCAACACCGTCTGCAGACTTAGCCCCATCGGTGAAGATGGAAATGGAGTGGGAATGTGAAGAAAAGTGTTCAAGGAAAATCGTATAAAAATTTAAATGCATTTTAATGCTCATATAAATAAATTTTTATTAATAGAATCAACATTATATGTAGAGGTGTATGTGATTTTTAATTTTATATTTTCTCGCTTTCTATCACTATTCCTTAGCTCCTTCCATCTATACTGACGCCAAGGAGTGTAATTATCACTAAGATGCTTGTGGGAACTTTAGTGCAAAGTGTAGATACGTTGGTGACTTTGCAAAGGACTCGTTTAGTGAGCTAAATTTTGTGAGAATTTTAGAGATGAACTCACCTATTGAGAGCAATTAAGCGCGATTCAGTGATTGCCACTAATGAGAACTAAATCTTGTATGTTGAGCAAAATAGACGTAGATGAAGGCTCGCTTGTATTGGCGTAGGTGCACTATACGCGAGGCTGGTGCTCACCTGCTGGACGTGGGCGTGGAAGTGACTACGTGGGCGTCTTCGGAGGGGCGCGCAGGAAAGACGGGTCTACGGCAGCCACCTTGGCGGTGAGGAAAGCGTGCATGCAGAAGAGCAGATTCTGCAGGTTGGTTGCGCACTCTAGCTCCTGGGTGAGGTAAGAAGAAATATCAGGAGATAACCAGGAAAAAAAGGCACCTGAGAGATATGGCGGTAACCAGAGAGAAAGATGTGAAAACCAGAAAGGTACATATGAAACCCAGAGAGGTACATATGAAACCCAGAGAGGTACATATGAAACCCAGAGAGGTACATATGAAACCCAGAGAGGTACATATGAAACCCAGAGAGGTACATATGAAACCCAGAAAGATACATGTGAAACCAGGAATAAAGAGTATAAACAAGGGAGAATGGTAAGAAGGAAGAGAGAAATTATGGTAGGTAGGTAGAGAGAAAGATAGTGAGGGAAACAGGAAGAGAAATAACATGGCAGGGAGGGAGAAGAGTGAAGGCTATTAAGGAAGAGTTTGATGGAAGGAGGGCAGGAAGGAGACTGTAAGGACGGGAAGGAGGAAGGAATGGAGGGAATGAAAGGGTGAGGGAGAGTGGAAGGGAGAGATGAAGGAAAGAAAGGGAAGCACGGAGGGAGAGAAGGATGGAATAAAGTAAATGGTGAGTGCTCAATCTATCCTGTTCTTTATAAAGTTATAAAATTAGGTTGATATATGACACATTAGTGAAGGCTGCAGCAGTTACATCTCTTATTGGTCTAATAATTATGGCAGCCATTTCACTTCGATCTAACATTCAAGAGAACAGATTTTTTAACTTTTCGGGTAAAGAATAACGTATAAAACACACAAAAGATTCGTGCTATATATAATGTACATAAAGAAATAAAATAAAATACATAAAATACATAAATACATACAATAGGAAGAATAAGTGAGTTTCTTCACATTCTTGACGGTAAAAAGTATTTACGTAGAATGGAAAACGTCCAATCCAGTATTAAATCAGCAGTCCTTTTTTTGCTGAATACTTAAGAACAGCCCCAATAAACAATACAACCCTCTCCTAAAAGCAAATGTGGTATTCAAAATTAAATGCCCCAATGAAGGATGTCACCTTCGATCTACATATATTGTGTCACGTAAATCACTTGCATAGCCGTGAAACTGCCTCTTCCACTCACCTTCTATGTCATCACACTGGAAGTCCACCTCTATGGCACTCAAGATGAGTCATTTGACACGCCATTATTTCCTATTTCTTTAGTTATTTTTCATTACTTCACCTTACCCCACAAAACTTTACCTCTTCCATGTGAATTTAAGGATAAATTTGAACGTTGTGTTCAACTCCTTACTTGAAGATGTTCTATAGTAGAATGAGATGTTTTAGAAAATAAACCTTTCAGTAATCACTAGAGTTTTTTCACCATGAATTTCGATAACATGGTCTTCTTAACCTCGACAGTAAGAAAATAGAAGCATACAAAGCTTATACTATAAGACCAACAACGCCTGCAATGTGGTCATATTTAACCAATATATATATTAACTGGTTAAATATTATATAATATAATTTGTTCTATATAATTAATAAAAAAATATTTTCAGTTGCATATATGCCTGGGGACCATTCAGGCTTGTTCGCATTTGTGTTCCTCACGTGTGCCCCAAAGAATGAGGTGATTTGATAAAATACCATGCCCAAGATTACCATCAGAGTACCGGCTGGATGATGGGGAATTAGCCTTGGCTACCATCATCTTTTGTCCGGTCGTGATGGTCGAGTGGTTAAGGGGTCCTGAACACCAGTTGCAGAGTGCTCCTGGCAGTATGGGTTCGAGTCACTTCTGGGGTGTGAATTTTCAGTTGCATATATGCCTGGGGACCATTCAAGCTTGTTCGCATATCTATATATATATATATATATATATATATATATATATATATATATATATATATATAGGAAAAGATTAAAGTATTCAGTAAGAATCCACAAGGTCTTCTCTGAACACTATTTTCTTCTTCGAGGATGTGGGTCCCTTTAATTACACCAGTGGTGGTACCCCTAATATATATATATATATATATATATATATATATATATATATATATATATATATATATATATATATATATATATATATATAATGTCACTGGGATGTTTATAATTGCTAATATTTCTTAAAGAAAGCATCAAGCAAACTTTACAAAGAGAGCTGCACCTAACACTTACCCATGCCCAGATACTACATACCTTCGTCTCAATCTCTTTGTTTTCGTTCTGAAAGTGGAGCTTCAGTTTGGTTTTGGAGTCATCTGAGGAACCCTTGAGCTGAGAGAACTTGTAGCGCCAGTGGTACTCCCTCGTCTCTGTGTCGTAGAGAGCGAACCCTCCCGACCAGTCCAGCGTCAGGCCAGATGATCTCCCGGCTTGTGTTACCGCGAATGTTTTGTTCTGAAATGGTTGTTGAGCGAGGCTGAGTATGGTGACAGTATAAAAAAGAAGAGTAAAGAATATCAACTTTTAGAATTAATTACTGTCTGCTCGAGTTTAGGTACTATTCATTATTTTATGGGGTTTGGCTTTGTTTTGTGCATGTTTTTGGTCGGTCTAATTGCAACAAATATCTAAACAAAAATAAAAACAAACTGAGCACTGTTTATACACAAACATGATTGTTTACCTAGTAAATATCTTCTCTAACACATGGGTACTGTTGCTCGATATTATTAGTCACAGGCGCTAGGTATATGCCCAGTGCCAGTGCCAGTGCCAGGCAAATCAAAGAAATGTGTGGTCGTGCTTCCGAGGTCCACTTGAACATTACTCACTTTTGTGACTCTTGAGATATAAGGAGAATGTTCGGCCAAGTTACTGTAGGGGGGTGGTACTTCCCTCCCTTCATCCCTCTACTGGAGAACACCAAACACCACTTCGGTGTTGTATACTTACCTTTATATATTTATTCACCACAATAGATTCCTTGCAGGCTCTCCATTCTCCACCCATAACCAGTTGATATCTCCTCTCCTCTCAATAACCATCCGTGTATGCCTTCCCTTTCTTATCAATAGCCAGCTGTGCATACCTCTAATATCAATCTAATATCCATCCGTGCATAAGTACTCTCTCCACCGAATTACAGTTTTTCATATCTCTCATCTCTTCTAACGTGTTCCTGGCGCCTTCTTTATCTCTATGGCTGAGACTCACCCCAAGTCTGGTAACAGCGTTGTAGACGGCACGGTGCCAGGCATTTTCAATCCTGAGGAGGTCTTGGCGGGTCTCAACGCTGAGGTAACGAGACTCCTGCATGGCCGTCTGCAGGAGGAAGCAGTGTTGCCTCTCGTCTACATACTCCGACTCCTTGATCACTCGGAACATGGTCTGATGAACAGCCCAGACTGACGCACGCTCAACCCAGTCGTGCGTGTTCAACTGCAGGGGAGACACAGGGCAAGTCTTAGTAAGATGTTAAGGAAGACATATACATAAAACAGAGGCACATTAGTAGTTACTGACGGGAGACATCTTCCGTCCACGAGGCTAACCATAGCCCGTGCTTCTTGCCCCGCTCCTGTGCCAGGTAAGTTACGGGCTCACCATAGCCCGTCCTACTTGGAACTTGTTCCGAGTAGCTGAATCTATAACAACAACAACAACAAGTAGTTACTACTGAGGAATTGAGGAAGTAGGAACGAAAAGTAGAAGATATGTAACGTTGAAAGTAATAAAGCAGTTATTACTAGAAAACTGAGTGAGAGATAGCTCAGAGAAAGGTCAGGAGGGTCCACCACCACGGACAATATGGATCAGCTCACGAGCCACATGACACCAACTGTATGTTGAGATGATTTCGGGGCTTAGTGTCCCCGCGGCCCGGTCCTCGACCAGGCCTCCACCCCCAGGAAGCAGCCCGCAGCTGACTAACTCCCAGGCACCTATTTACTGCTAGGTAACAGGGGCATCAGGGTTAAAGAAACTCTGCCCATTGTTTCTCGCCGGCGCCAGGGATTGAACCCGGGACCACAGGATCACGCGTCCAGTGTTCTGTCCGCTCAGCCGCCAGCTCCCTGTATAATAAAAACTGATAACCAAGTAAAAGTCCAGCTGTGAAGAGCAGAGACGAGCTTCCAGCTCAGCATCCAAGGACCTGCTTGATGGAGTTGTCAGGCGCACCAATAGCTGATCAAGGGAGCTGAGAGCTTAGCTGATCAAGGGAGCTGAGAGCTTAGCTGATCAAGGGAGCTGAGAGCTTAGCTGATCAAGGGAGCTGAGAGCTGAGTGGAGAATAAAGGACGCTGTAAAAGACCTATTGACTTACACGATTCGGTTTCTATATTTATATCTCACTACAACAACTAAAACAAGTATAATTTATCTAGGCTGTATTTGAAACAATCAAGATATTCTTCGTCTTTTATCACATCTAGCATCATGCTCCTTACATCAGCCAAAATGTTTCCACAGCAGTATTTACCAAGGATCAAAGGGACTTGAGGCAGAATAGCAGTGAGTCGGGTGAGGCAAAGGACTAAGACTGAACGAGAGAGAGAGAGGGCTGCGGCCAGGGTGTAGGCTGGATTAATTGTGAATGGCAAGAAGAAAGGTACAGATAATAAATATACAGTTAATTAATGTACTTTACTGCACATCCTTTTAAGCTGAACCTCAACATAAGCTGGCACAGAAACCTGTGTGAAGTACGGAGAAGTACAGAGAATTCAAGTCTCCAGGGAAGATTTGATAGCAGCAGCAGCGGGGGAAATATTGTTTGGTGATGTCATGAAAAGTGGACGACAGACCACTGAAATATTATCTAAAACAGTGCAAAGTTACAAATTAAATCAAATTTCAGCCGAGATTTAACAGACCAAAGGAAGTTGTTATACATAATGGACAATCTTACTGAAACCAGCATTCGAGTGATCAATACTCCTCCACTGCCTAAGACAAAAATGAGTGACATTTAGTGAGCCAGCCGGAGGCTTATAGACGAATAGGAATATTCCTGCAAAAAAGTGATAAGCCTTTAGTTGACGTGGCTGGGAGGCTAGTAGCCTGGAGTATACCTGGAATGGGTTCTGGAAGTTATTGGGAGATAGCTCCAGTAGGAATTGGGGCTATCCTAAGTTGAATAAGGACATGGTTACACCAAAGGAAACAAAGTGTTAGTATAAATGAAGTTAATATAAATGCCCGTGTCTCCCTCGCTCCCATCACAATCGACTTAATAATGGTCCAGGACGGACCGACACGTCGTCGTCGTGTCTTCATCTTCTAGTGTGTGGTCTGGTCAATATAAATGAAGTCGGGACGAATCAAACTAGAGCTGGAAATAAATTCAGAAAACTCAAAATTGCTTCAAGACGATCATGATAGGTTTTGAAATGGACGATAGCCTGGCAGCTGCAGTTTATTTCTGAAAAAATATAAGGTCGTGAGGCTAGGTATTTAACGAGTGGCATAATAAACCTTTTATTTCGCCGGAAATAAAATGCTTCATTTTTATACCTTACCCATTAAGATATCTAAAATGAAAACAAAGTTGTGATATATTTAATTTAAAAACAAAAATAAGACTTTGTTGATAAAAAGAGTACTCGTGTAAAACGCTTTAGCTGTCTCAGGTCAACACAATTTTGCTACTGCGGTAAAATAGAAAAACACTATAAGAACTAGTTTTCTCAACAGTTAAACTATGACTGATGTTTTTGTACATCACAATTTAAAATAATTACTGTTTTCATAACACCTGAGCTTTACGAAGCAAAAAAGTATAGACAGATTGGTGACACGGAAGGCATAAAATACTTAGGTAATATTAAAAGTGGAAACAGGAAATATATATAATAAATGTGTTGTAATGAGAGGACAATAATATAAGCTGAAGGCACAGATGGGCCATGGTAATAGACACGAGGCATTGTAATAATAGACAAAGTAGACAAGGAGGAGGGAAGACGAATACAAGTTGGTCGGGAACCTTAGCAGTGAGGACGCAACCCGTCCGTGACTCAAGTCCATTACATCCAGCGGTCGACCCCACAGACGAATTCATAAATTTTAATATACTGTTCACTCAAAACGGGAATTTTCTCAAGTATAAATTAATATTATAATATATTAGCATATTGTGCATATATAGGCATAGGATAGGTTAGGTTAGGTGTTTAGGTTCTGTTGGCGATTATTTGTATTTGTAGTACGTGGGTGAAGCATTTATAGCGTTGTGATTCGAACAAAATTCGTCAGTGAAGCACTTGTTCCGGATATGTTCGAATGTCAGCAGTTGTGAGTCGTGTGTAAACCGCTTTTCATTCATAAACAGGGGGTTTGGCGGGTGCATGGAATCACTTTTGGATCTTTGTTTGGAGGACGGGCTGGAGGACGATACCTGAAACGGGTAATTATGAGCAGAGGTTCGATCTATCAGGCTCGGATGGTTAAATAGGTGAGAACAAACACAAATTTCAATGTGAAACTTATTTTATGTTTCCTAAACATTCGTAGGGAAAGGAAGTGGTAAGAGAGAGAGGAAAGATGGAGGAAGAAAAGGAGGTGGAATAAAAAAAAGGAAGTATAAAGCAAGGAAGAGGAGGAATAAGATAAGAAGAAGTGAATTTTAAGGATAAATTACTCACGGGAGGAGTGTCGAACATATAGATGTCAGTACCCTTGAGAGCGATGAACTTGGGCTTCCAATTCTGCCAGGGAAGGTTTTGGTTGAGGACGCCCTCACACACCCAGCCCATGTATAGTACGTGTTCAGACGCAGGGAAGCTTGAGTTGTACAGCTTCATCTGCAACAACAAGAGTCAAAAGGTCAGTGTGGAACACAACTCCAATTGAAATGCACAGTGAAAAAGAAAGTCATTGTTGCCCGCAAATTTAGAAACAAGAGGCGAGTCAGAGAGTCAATAAGACGCAGTTTCATCTGAAAATCGATATAAAGCAAAGCCCTTACAATCACTACCCATTCCTAAGCCAAATGTATTCCATACGTCGGCCGCCGTAGGTCACATTTGTATTACCTTAAATACAAATTAATATTTATTATTATGAAAATAATAACCCACTATTTTGAAAACACGAAGAAACGTTGACTTAATATTTCGATCCCACCCGGAATCCTATTCAGCAGTGAGCGAGAATGACTGTTGTTGTTGTTTTAGATTCAGCTACTCAGACCTAATAGTTCCAAGTAGCACGGGCTATGGTGAGCCCGTAAGTGGAGGCTCTTTGGAGCCATTGTCTGCATCAATAGCTGATACTGGAGATCTGGGGATGGGGTCCGTGGACGCGCCAATCCTATTCAAGTCAGGATGACAGCTGTAACTGCTCTGATGGGGTTAAGTCAGGTGTCGTGGGAAGAGGTAAAAGCATTGGGTAATAACCTTGTCATTACAACAACAACAACCTTGTTACATAATCGCTCACCCTATGTGGTAACCACTTCATGAGGAGATATTAAAATTTGGATATTGTTTATAAAAGTAGATTCTATTATGCAGGCGATGAGTCACAATAACGTGGCTGAAGTATGTTGACCAGACCACACACTAGAAGTTGAAGGGACGACGACGTTTCGGTCCGTCCTGGACCATTCTCAAGTCGATTGTGCTAGATTCTAGATTCTACTATTTTTCTTTTGAAGCCATAGTGTTTGGGATAAATTATACAAGAGTTATCCATATAATTTTATAATCGGTCATCAGTCATCAGACATTTGTCATTCGACTCTCAATCAACTATAATTGTGTCGATACAAGAAGCTCTCTCCATTACTTCCAAATGCAAGACCCTATACAAGGTCTTGCATTTTTTCAATATTAATGAGCATTTGCCAGTCTCCTGACCATTTGTGGAGTTCAAGTAGACGTCTTTGCAAGACTTCAATACCATTCTCGCTTCCTACTTTGCCATAGATGTTAGTGTCATCTGCAGGTTTGATGATATGGTTTGTAATATTCTCATTGATGTATGCGACAAAAAGTTGGCCCCAAGATGGAAACTTACAGTACCACATTCACCACAATTCTCTAGCCAGATTTATTTTCATTTAGGACGACCGTTGGCTTTCTTTGTTTTAACCATTGTTTTATCCATTCTAGTATTTTAAAATTTATTCCATGAACGTGCAATTTTTTTGCCAGTTTTACACGTGGTACCTTATTAAAAGCTTGAGAAAAGTCAATTTATATTACGTCTACTGGTAGACCTTTGTCTGAAAAGAAGGCTTGGCGCCTTCTTTTGATAAGTACTTACTTTGTCAAGAAATGTATATGCTTATCTCTCAGAATGTTCGGTAATATGTTTATTGTTTGTGATGTGTGTCTATATATGTATGAACACATTGTACTGAACGGGGTGAGAATAGCTTGAGCTGCCTCATCCCTTTGTGTGTATTTTACCTCAATAAACTTATTTCAATTTCAATTTCTTACTTTGTCTGAATTGGTGGCTACTCATCTGACGCATGGTAAAGTCCATGATGTTACTCACCAGGAGGTTGGTAAGACCGATGATGTTACTCACCTGGAGGTTGGTAAGGCCGATGATGTTACTCACCAGGAGGTTGGTAAGGCCGATGATGTTACTCACCTGGAGGTTGGTAAGTCCATGATGTTACTCACCTGGAGGTTGGTAAGGCCGATGATGTTACTCACCTGGAGGTTGGTAAGGCCGATGATGTTACTCACCTGGAGGTTGGTAAGGCTGATGATGTTACTCTCCTGGAGGTTGGTAAGGCTGATGATGTTACTCACCTGGAGGTTGGTAAGGCTGATGGTGTTACTCACCAGGAGGTTGGTAAGGCCGATGATGTTACTCACCTGGAGGTTGGTAAGACCGATGGTGTTACTCACCAGGAGGTTGGTAAGACCGATGGTGTTACTCACCTGGAGGTTGGTAAGGCCGATGATGTTGTTGGTGATGTGTTTGATCCACTGGGACAGCATGGCGGCGTCTTGGCAGTGCACCACACCAGTACTGATACCGTTTATACCCCGCACCTCGAACGCTTGCGGCCGCAGCTTGTCGGTGCCGAAGATGTACCGTGTGATGTAGGCCATCATGAGTGGCACTGTAGGGAGGGCACGGGTGGTGGAGAGTGGCAGAGAGTGACACAGAGGCATACACAGAAACAGAGGGACAGAGATAGACAGAAACAGAGACAGAGGGACACAGATAGACAGAACAGAGTAATATATAGATTAAAGGTAAACTGGTGAAGTTTACGAATAAAGTATGTGACTTTGTTTATGTTCTTCCATTAACAGCATTTGTTGTCAATTACAAAAATTGTCTTCTGTTTTATATATATTTGAACTATTATATATATAATGAAATAAAACTGCAGACAACAACCCTAATCCGATAGTTTTAAAATAAGTAAGTAAATAATGAAAAGGAATAACGCCCTTCCTGTAAATTATCAAGCAATTAGATTCAGTTCAGTATTTGGTATATTCATGTAAGTCATCATTCAGCGTCAAGTTGAAAGAAATTTATAGGGTCATCAAGTAATTAATAATTCCCGTGAAGGTTACTCATTATGTAAAGCACATGTAGCAGCAGCTGAAGTATTATTGTCGTAAGGCAACCACTAAAAGATGGCTTAATTTACAGCTAACGAAGAACATGACAAACCAAAGTCTCAAGGCTCAAAACAATACTCTACTAAATTATATGTCAAATGAAACAAAATACTTTTTTCTTATTCAACAGGCAGACATTCACAACAGCTTTCAAAAAAACGTATTAGAGAAAAAAATCGTGCAAACTGTTTAAAATTAAGTTTAACAAATAATTTTCTTCAAATTCGCAGGCTACATCATTTGAACGCAATAAGCTGTGGCTGCTTGATTGACTTTATATTAGCATGCAATTACAATGTTATTTAATGCCAGAATTTAATGAGTATTGATGCCTGTATGAGAATCCAAGACGTTAGGCGACGTCACCTGAGAGCATCATTAGCTGAATTAATGGGGAAAGCAATGTCAAAGATGTCAACCGATATCAAGTATAAAAGAGCAGTTCTGAGTAATCTATCAGAGCACAGTTAAGGAACAAGACAGAAGACTGACTAGAGGATGACTGAGAGGAATACCCACCTGTAACTATATCCACCCATTGCTTCTCCACCTTTGGTCCGTTGGGGGTGGAGTCTGCAGTGGAGGTGTTGGTGGCTGTGCTGGTGGGAGTGGTGGAGGTGGCGTTAGAGATGCCGTTCGGAGTGTGCTTCGAGATGACTTCGTTCCGACTGTTGTTGACTTTGTTGAGGTTGTTGGTGGTTGTGCTTGTGTTGGAGGTGTCGGTGGTAGTGCTATTATTGGAGACGATGGAATCAGTTTGGTCACTATTTGATATTTTGTGATTGGAGATCTTGGCCGAGGTGGGGGTGGAGGAGGGGGTGGTTGGGGTTGTGGGATCAGAGGGGGAGCGCCAGCCATCTTCAGGCCTGAGCTGTGACGCTGTGCTCTCTGTTGTGCTGCTCAACGTCTCTGTCATCACACACGAAACAAATTAATTTGATTCACCTTGTTTTCTCGTCTATGTTTTTGGTTAATGTTTGCTAGTACCACAACAGCCGCGGTACTAACGCCTGGTCATATTTTGACCATATGTGAACATATCACTCAATAACCTAATTAACCTAATACTTATTATACAATTCATTCACCACCCCAAATGAGCTTCAGTAAGCTGGTTGGTCCGTAAGCAAAAGTGTTATGGTTTTAATAAACTCTGTGAGGTTGAGAGGCCTTAAGGTCATCACCAAACCAAAGATTCAGGGAATGTCAATCATGCATGCATCGACACCAAGCAGTTAATCAACTCGCACTTTTACAGCTGTAATTAAACATCTTAACATCTAAAGCTAACAAACCTCCAACTCTTTTAGGAAATAGCATAATTAACACGCACCCACTTTTACTAGCATGATACATTACCAGCTATCAACATATACTAATTAACATTGTGACCTAACAGACAGTTAGTTGAACACAATATATTGCAGTGATTGTAATAATATATGCATACGAGAAACATTCAGAAACTTAAATGTGAAAATTTACCAAATTAGATATGTTGTGTCCATAGCATGAGCAATGTTTCTGTGACACAGAACCAGGAGCAACACCTCATAAACTGTAATACTCCAAACACATCATCAAAGTAAAATACATTAGGAGACAGTGAATAGAATCTGCTGCCATTAGACAGTACAGAAGAGACCAATAACATTTTCAGCTTTGGAGCCCCATTTGTCAAATTACTGTAACAAAAATACAAATTATAACATGATCCCTGACCTGTGTGACGTCACGGTGTCTGTCCCTCAACTTCCCTCCTTGTGCTGCTACTTAAGTGTCCCTCTCTTACACTTGACAATCCTTACTGGCCAAACATCACCCTTAATAAAGGTTACTCTCAACTTGATGTTTCTGTAAAAATCCTATCAGCTTAGCCAACTACGTAGAATCATCAGCCCATTCTCGCGAGCGTTCTCAGCGTCATGAGACTGTCGTAGTGAAGTGTCTTATCTTAACCTACCAGAGAACCCACGTACAGAAAACGGGACATTATGTCAACATAAGTACTTAGCATCACATGTAACAAGCAGCAATCAGCCGGAACAGTCCCTCTTTAAGTTATTAATTATGGAGCGCATAACAATTGCGGCGGGTGTAGTTTTATGTTATTTGTTTACGAGTCACAATTAGTGCCCCCCGAGGACCCTCACAAATGGAACGGCATCAGAATTCTATGGAACTCTGTCTCGAGTGATCTCAGGCCAGATGGTGATGGGCAGGTTAGGCCGTGTCAATGTTTAATAATACCCAAATTTTGTAATGCCAGAATTTTTAATAATACCGAAAAATTCAAAGTCCAAAAATTTATTTATAATGTTCTATGGTAAGTTCCTCAAGACAACAGTTGTATAGTTCATAAGAAAGAGGAATTAGCTCAACAAGTGACCACTAGCGAGAACTATTTAACTGTTAAGGATCGATCTGATTTCTTCTCTTTCAAATTTTTTTATTATGGGTGATGTTACTTTAACCGGTCTATAGTTTTTAGCCAATATTTTGCTGGCACACTGGTGTATTGGAGCTATATCTGCTGACAGAAGTGCTCCTGGTATCTGCCCTGCACCTGCGGGTTCTCCACGCAACCCTCAGTGCTCATGCTACCGGTAATTTACACTTCTTCATAAATATACAATTCCAGGAGTTGGGACCCGGTGGTGAGAGCTGTTTATTAGGGTGGTAAACATAGCATCATAATGTTCTTTTAGGATTTTCCTAATTTCTTTGTCGTCCTCTGTGTATAACCCGACGATTGCAGGTATAGACCCAATACTGATGGTTTTCGAGTTTTATTTCACATGCGTGAAAAACTTATATATATGCACATATAATCTTATACAGCTTTCTGTTCCAATTACATGTCTTCAGTCTAGTGTGCTTGCTTCAGCTTCTGCTCTATTTCTTCAATCTCCATGATTAAATTATTTTTTCTTTATTGGGATAGTCGTGTCTGCTTAAACAATTCAGTAATTATTTTCATTCTTCTGCAGTGTCGACTGCTTTCCCTTTCAAGCATATTTTGTAAGCTTTGCCAGTCAATTGTTCTATTCCTTACATGGGAGTTTTGGTATTTAAGACGGTTTTCCGATAGATGTTTGCAAGTTCTATGTTTATTTTTTCCCAGCAGTCCTCTTGTTAAAATTGTATTTATTAAATACCCTTATTTATTATTAAATAATAAATAAATATTTATTAAATAAATATTAAATTATTTATTTATTAAATAAAATTTATATTATAAATATAAATGGAGGGAGCCGGTCGGCCGAGCGGACAGCACGCTGGCCTTGTGATCCTGTGGTCCTGGGTTCGATCCCAGGCGCCGGCGAGAAACAATGGGCAGAGTTTCTTTCACCCTGTTACCTAGCAGTAAAATAGGTACCTGGGTGTTAGTCAGCTGTCACGGGCTGCTTCCTGGGGGTGGAGGCCTGGTCGAGGACCGGGCCGCGGGGACACTAAAGCCCCGAAATCATCTCAAGATAACCTCAAGAAGATAACCCTCTCACGCTTATTTGGAGATATTACGAGCTGTGAGTCGTAACTTGAACTTCAAGGAGTCTTTGATCTGAGTGTTTAGTATCTGAGATTGTAATGTCTCTGATTTCTTCTTTGTTTGTAAAGATCAGGTCAAGAATATTTTCGTTCCTAATTGGTTCTGTTATCTTCTGGGCGAAAGTTTTTCCTAGAATCTAAGTTGTTCTCTAAACCGTGTTTGGTTATTTCCAGGTTGATATCCTTTTATAATGTTATTGTTTATTATTCTTTATCTTAAACTGGGTAGAGTAAAGCCTCCAAAGAAGATAATATCTGGTAATGGGTTTCTAGATTATCGAGATTATTTTCTATTGCATCTGCTCTGAGATTATCTCAACCGTTGCATCTGATGGTTTGCATATTAGAATAATAACTAGGGTTTATTTTCTCTACTTTAATTCCAGGTATCTCTACCACCTTGTTACCTAGCAGTAAATTAGGTACCTGGGTGTTAGTCAGCTGTCACGAGCTGCTTCCTGGGGGTGGAGGCCTGGTCGAGGACCGGGCCGCGGGGACACTAAAAGAAGCCCCGAAATCATCTCAAGATAACCTCAAGATAACGTCATTTGCAGAGCTTAGGAGCTCTGAGTATAAGGTCCTATCCTACTTACTCTATCATATCTATGTAAATTATATTCTAGTATCCAGATCTCACTGTTCAAGTAGTCTCCCGTATTGTTTGTCTGAAGGACCCAAATAATGAATTTGCCTCCGTTGAGGCCATTTATAAATGGTACTTTGTTTTTCGTCGTTGATTTTAGGCCTTTAATGTTGGCAAAGATAAATAAAGTTACTCAGAAGAATTTTGACCGGTAAGTTTTTTCAGAGAGTTCCATTATGTATTGATTCATTATGTATTGAACTTTATTTGATTTGTATTTGTTGGATGTTGTAGTTGCAGGTGTGTTGCAGGGTGTTGTAGTAGTAGATGGCTTTAGTGTGTACATGGCTCCTTCTGCCAGTTACAAGGATTAGAAAGGATGTGAGGATGGTACTTACCATCGTTCTTGTTGAGGAAGGGAGTGGCGGCCTTGTAGTGTCTGACGGTCAGGAGTACCTCGTCCCCCGCCTGACGCAGCTCGCCCACAGCCTCGTCATGGGTACACCGCAGCAGAGTCTGGTTGTTCACTGTCAACACACAAGACAACACCTGTCACATGGTGCTGGTTGTTCACTGTCAACACAGAAGACAACACCTGTCACATGGTGCTGGTTGTTCACTGTCAACACACAAGACAACACCCGTCACATGGTGCTGGTTGTTCACTGTCAACACAGAAGACAACACCCGTCACATGGTGCTGGTTGTTCACTGTCAACACACAAGACAACACCCGTCACATGGTGCTGGTTGTTCACTGTCAACACAGAAGACAACACCCGTCACATGGTGCTGGTTGTTCACTGTCAACACCTGTCACATGGTGCTGGTTGTTCACTGTCAACACACAAGACAACACCCGTCACATGGTGCTGGTTGTTCACTGTCAACACACAAGACAACACCTGTCACATGATGCTGGTTGTTCACTGTCAACACCTGTCACATGGTGCTGGTTGTTCACTGTCAACACACAAGACAACACCCGTCACATGGTGCTGGTTGTTCACTGTCAACACCCGTCACATGGTGCTGGTTGTTCACTGTCAACACCTGTCACATAGTGCTGGTTGTTCACTGTCAACACCTGTCACATAGTGCTGGTTGTTCACTGTCAACACCCGTCACATGGTGCTGGTTGTTCACTGTCAACACCCGTCACATGGTGCTGGTTGTTCACTGTCAACACCTGTCACATAGTGCTGGTTGTTCACTGTCAACACCCGTCACATGGTGCTGGTTGTTCACTGTCAACACCCGTCACATGATGCTGGTTGTTCACTGTCAACACACAAGACAACACCCGTCACATAGTGCTGGTTGTTCACTGTCAACACCCGTCACATGGTGCTGGTTGTTCACTGTCAACACCCGTCACATGGTACTGGTTGTTCACTGTCAACACACAAGAGAACACCCGTCACATGGTGCTGGTTGTTCACTGTCAACACCCGTCACATGGTACTGGTTGTTCACTGTCAACACACAAGAGAACACCCGTCACATGGTGCTGGTTGTTCACTGTCAACACCCGTCACATGATGCTGGTTGTTCACTGTCAACACACAAGACAACACCCGTCACATGGTGCTGGTTGTTCACTGTCAACACCCGTCACATGGTGCTGGTTGTTCACTGTCAACACACAAGAGAACACCCGTCACATGGTGCTGGTTGTTCACTGTCAACACACAAGACAACACCCGTCACATAGTGCTGGTTGTTCACTGTCAACACCCGTCACATGGTGCTGGTTGTTCACTGTCAACACACAAGACAACACCCGTCACATAGTGCTGGTTGTTCACTGTCAACACCCGTCACATGGTGCTGGTTGTTCACTGCCAACACCCGTCACATAGTGCTGGTTGTTCACTGTCAACACCCGTCACATGGTGCTGGTTGTTCACTGTCAACACCCGTCACATAGTGCTGGTTGTTCACTGTCAACACCCGTCACATGGTGCTGGTTGTTCACTGTCAACACCCGTCACATAGTGCTGGTTGTTCGCTGTCAACACCCGTCACATGGTGCTGGTTGTTCACTGTCAACACCCGTCACATAGTGCTGGTTGTTCACTGTCAACACCCGTCACATGGTGCTGGTTGTTCACTGTCAACACCCGTCACATAGTGCTGGTTGTTCACTGTCAACACCCGTCACATGGTGCTGGTTGTTCACTGTCAACACCCGTCACATGGTGCTGGTTGTTCACTGTCGGAATTGTTTCACACAAGGCGGAATGGACACAAATCTAAGGGAATTACGGATTGCAGATTTTAAAGAAACGATTTAAAGTTTAACACAGAATATTCTAACTAATTGTTTACAAGAGACAGATGTAATTGTTATAAGAGGAGGGACGAGGCACTCGTCATACAGCTCCCAACATGTATTCACTAGCCGTGTCCACCTTCTTGTTCCACCACTCCGTTACCTTAACTTTACAGTCACACCCTCCTCCACTTTCAGCTCTTCAGACAAGCCACGCCCTCAAAATGTGCATACAACCTTTTGCCTGAGCTGTACAAAGTACTGTACATGGTTCCTCAACTCATGGACATCCTTGTGGTAATAATCCTCACTACCACATTGATATTTCCATAAACTTAAAATACCTCGTACATACAACCCAAGCCCAGCATTGTTACACACCTTACCAAACCCTCAGTTCACCAGCCTCCATCAAAGTTCACTCATATGAAGGAGGAAGAAAGGAAAAATGCAGAGGCTATAAAGAGGTGGAGAATATAAATGATGATGAAGAGAAAGAAACAATATAGTCTCGCTCACCCTTGAGTATGGCGTCGCCGACGAAGAGCTTGCCTGTGAGGTCGGCGGCTTGATCCTTAAATATCCGCGAGATGAGAATAGGCAGCTTGTGCTCGGACCCTCCCTTGATGCTGAGGCCCAAGCCGGAGTTGCGCTGTCGGATGACCTTCACTCGCCGGATCTGTAGGCGAGATGAGGGCGGGTTACCACCTGTGACAGAGCAGATGAGAGTGATGATGAGTGCCCGATACTCGTCATCATCATTATCAGCGACGTAGACAGACTCCAGGCCAGACAACCTCTGGGAATTAAGACAATGACAAGCGAGGCGTGGAACGTGAAGGTGAAAAAGAACATAAGTTCCAGTTACGGAGATAAGAGCCGAAGACAAGTAAATAAGAGACATTATACAAGAGAGAAGAAAACCAGTATTGTATACCGTTGGGATAAAACAAAGTACAATGTCTCCTATTTCCAACATTTAAAGATGAAATTCGGTGTTTACTAAGCGTGATGGATCACAGGCTTAAACACCCCGGCGTTCACATACAAGATAAAATAAAAACAAAACAAAAGAAGAACAGATAGAGAAGAGAGACGGAACACTGGAGAAGAAGAGAGAAACAGAGAAGAGTAGAGAGAAAGAAGCAGAAGAAGGTAGTAGGTACAAGACCCGCCAAGGAACACTGGCATGCCATGAAGGGTAATCTGTTGTGGATTTACCTGCTGCTGGATACATTATTTACACCCCAGACGGAGCAATGGCGCGGGCCTAGGAAGGGGAGAGAGGAAGGGGCAGTGAGGGAGGGGAAGGAACAGGAGTTGTTGCTGGTGGGGGCGAAGGGAGGAGAAAGACAAGGAATAATATGTTGATAATGCGTGAGAAGACGAGAGAAAAGAAAAGAAGTAAAGAAGCATTATGACACCACCGAGACACTACGTGACCCTCTAAGAGAAGGAAGCAGCTCACACACACACTACCATTAATGTCTCGCCCACATCCATCACTTCCACTCTCACAACAATAACACCATCGCACGTACACACTATAATTCTCCCTCTCAACTCACACACAGGTTGCACTTGCAGTGAAATATCAGCTGAGATGATATTCAAACGTTCAAACGTTTGAATATTCCCATGCCACAGGTACCGGTAGCGCAATATTCCCATGCCATAGGTACCGGTAGCGCAATATTCCCATGCCACAGGTACCGAAAGCGCAATATTCCCATGCCACAGGTACCGGTAGCGCAATATTCCCATGCCACAGGTACCGGTAGCGCAATCTGATCCTTGAAACCACCAAGTCACACTGTTACAATCAAATGAAGAAATGAAAAAAAAAGAAAAAAGTTGGTCAAATAGTCACGTATTTAAGCAGCCTTCCATTAGTGTCCCCCTCTCTTCCTAGGACAACTTTTCCAATGAGCCAATAGTTTATATTTCCGTAAGATTCTCCTCTTTCTCTGACAACCAGAGGGACAGGAAACCATCCGCTGCACTTCGCCTTTGAGCTACAATCTCCAAACTTTTCAAGATGCTGATGAAAAAAGTTTGTTTATCTAAAAACGTCCGTCTCTTTGCTTTAGGTTCTTCTCTGGAAAAAGTCGGAGGCGGAGTGGCCCTACTCATGAGAAAGGAGTTTCTCGTGAGTAGTGGAGTTTCAAGGAGATGGTTATCCCAGGCAGAAAGGGGGTTCAGACACTACATAACAAGCACCATGATGACTATGGGAGGACCAAGAGTAGTAGTAGCGGTGATATATAACCCTCCACCAAACGACAGAAGCCCCAGACAAGAGAATGACAAAAACAACATGGCAGTTAACAATATAATTGAGAGGGCAGCCTCTCCTGTCTGTAGAATTCGATCCCATATGATCATCATGAGGGACTTCAATCACGGAAGGATAGACTGGGAGAACAAGGAGTGGTGTGTGGTTGTGTGGTGTGTGGTTGTGTGGTGTGTGGTGTGTGGTGTGTGGTTGTGTCGTTGTGTGGTGTGTGGTTGTGTGGTGTGTGGTTGTGTGGTGTGTGGTGTGTGGTGTGTGGTTGTGTCGTTGTGTGGTGTGTGGTTGTGTGGTGTGTGGTTGTGTGGTGTGTGGTTGTATGGTGTGTGGTTGTGTGGTGTGTGGTTGTGTGGTGTGTGGTTGTATGGTGTGTGGTTGTGTGGTGTGTGGTTGTGTGGTGTGGTGTGTGGTGTGTGGTGTGTGGTTGTGTGGTGTGTGGTTGTGTCGTGTGTGGTTGTGTGGTGTGTGGTTGTGTGGTGTGTGGTTGTGTGGTGTGTGGTGTGTGGTGTGTGGTTGTGTGGTGTGTGGTTGTGTGATGTGTGGTTGTGTGGTGTGTGGTGTGTGGTGTGTGGTTGTGTCGTTGTGTGGTGTGTGGTTGTGTGGTGTGTGGTTGTATGGTGTGTGGTGTGTGGTGTGGTGTGTGGTTGTGTGGTGTGTGGTTGTATGGTGTGTGGTTGTGTGGTGTGTGGTGTGGTGTGTGGTTGTGTGGTGTGTGGTTGTGTGGTTGTGTGGTGTGTGGTTGTGTGGTGTGTGGTTGTGTGGTGTGTGGTGTGTGGTTGTGCGGTTGTGTGGTTGTGCGGTTGTGTGGTGTGTGGTTGTGTGGTTGTGTGGTTGTGTGGTGTGTAGTTGTGTGGTGTGTGGTTGTGTGGTGTGTGGTTGTGTGGTGTGTGGTTGTGTGGTGTGTGGTTGTGTGGTGTGTGGTTGTGTGGTGTGTGGTTGTGTGGTTGTGTGGTTGTGTGGTGTGTGGTTGTGTGGTGTGTGGTGTGTGGTGTGTGGTGTGTGGTTGTGTGGTTGTGTGGTGTGTGGTTGTGTGGTTGTGTGGTGTGTGGTTGTGTGGTGTGTGGTGTGTGGTTATGTGGTGTGTGGTTGTGTGGTGTGTGGTTGTGTGGTGTGTGGTTGTGTGGTGTGTGGTGTGTGGTTGTGTGGTTGTGTGGTTGTGTGGTTGTGTGGTTGTGTGGTTGTGTGGTGTGTGGTTGTGTGGTTGTGTGGTGTGTGGTTGTGTGGTTGTGTGGTGTGTGGTGTGTGGTTGTGTGGTTGTGTGGTGTGTGGTTGTGTGGTGTGTGGTTGTGTGGTGTGTGGGTGTGTGGTGTGTGGTTGTGTGGTTGTGTGGTGTGTGGTTGTGTGGTTGTGTGGTTGTGTAGTGAAGGGTGACCCAGGACTGTGAAGAGTGACCCAGGACTGTGAAGAGTGACCCAGGACTGTGAAGAGTGACCCAGGACTGTGAAGGGTGACCCAGGACTGTGAAGGGTGACCCAGGACTGTGAAGAGTGACCCAGGACTGTGAAGGGTGACCCAGGACTGTGAAGGGTGACCCAGGACTGTGAAGGGTGACCCAGGACTGTGAAGTGACCCAGGATTGTGAAGAGTGACCCAGGACTGTGAAGAGTGACCCAGGACTGTGAAGAGTGACCCAGGACTGTGAAGGGTGACCCAGGACTGTGAAGAGTGACCCAGGACTGTGAAGGGTGACCCAGGACTGTGAAGAGTGACCCAGGACTGTGAAGAGTGACCCAGGACTGTGAAGAGTGACCCAGGACTGTGAAGAGTGACCCAGGACTGTGAAGAGTGACCCATGACTGTGAAGGGTGACCTTTTAATAATACAGAAGACGTCACCAACATTGGCTGAAAGAAAATTTAACCACTACTTGTGCGCTATTTCACGCCTTTGCGCTAGCGAATGAGTTATTTTGGCGAAACTGGAAAGGGATTGGTGGTTGTAACGACGCTCGTCTATGTGCGGCTGATACCACTGAATAGCCAATTTGCAAAGCTGCCGCTTCAGCCCGTTGGCTGGCTGATGTGGTGTGGAAAATCAATAACATCTATATTCACTGGCAGAGCTGACCCCCCATGATAACTGGTGTATCAAACACACTCATTAGTTCTCCATCACAGTAAACACAGCAACACTGAATACCCCAGAGTGGTGGTGAACTGTGTACCGTGCTAAGATGAGCCTCGCTGTCACACACCAACCAGACCATACTTGTCGTGTGGGGAGCCAGACGAGCCCTCGGTAAACCGCGGGGCTCTACTGACAACCTTTCATGCTAGCTACCAACGGTACTCACCCTAATACCTACAGTACCCAGACTACCAGCCACGGTACTCGCCTTAGAAGCCAACGTACCACACACTCTCACATCCTTTTCCCCTACTTACGCAGGTAGGCTGGCCGCCATACTCACCCTGGCGTCAGGACCGTTAGCCTCAAGGTTCTTGGTGCTGATGACGAGTTGTTCTCGCTGGAGGACGAGGGAGTCTGAGGTGAGGATGAGCTTCATGGGCTGCTGCCTCGACTTGCCGTCACTCACGCTCACCAGACCAGCGTGCAT